AGCTGGCTGCTTCTGTCTCTCTTTCTGCAGCTGGTTCACAGAGGTGAGGTTGGCTCCAGGCTCTTCCTTTCAAACCAGGGAAGTTTCACATCCCTCACGTATGATTTTGGCAACCGATCCGTGCTCTGCAGTCTGCTGGGGTAGGTGTGATTATCCTACCCTGACACAGCCTGTGCTCCCTCTCCTCCAGCCAGCTGGTGCAAAGGGCCACCATGCTCTGGTCATGACCTGCCAAGTCTGACCCGTACCCAGTGCTGTCTCTCATCCTTTCACAGGGAAAGTCAGAGAAGGGGAAGGCCAGCCAAGAGCAGGCAGCTCTGTTTGCAGGACCTGCTGCTTGAGCATCTTCCTGGAGCCAGCGCAGGAGATGGTGCAGCAGGACCTGGCCTGTGCCAACACCAGGGCCTTGCAGTGGCAATTCGTCTGCCGTGCTCTCGCTTCCCTCTGAGCTGCAGGCTTGCATCAGCCCAGCCTGAAGGCATTGGCTCCCTTCTTGGCTGGGCGTAGGACTGTGGGTTTGTCTCTTACCTACATCATCTCTTGCTTTATAGCTGTGCAGCTGCCCCATTGACAGCAAGCAGAGGGCATTGGCTGATCCACGTGAGGAGAAAACTCAGGGGCCCCGACAGTGGTGTTGGTATGGACTGGGCTCTCCTGTGCTGCCACAGCCCTTGCGATCCACCAGCTCCTCTGTGTGTCACAGGGGAAGGAACTGTGCCCAGAAGAATGGGGTAAATCTGCTCAAGGTCACTGGACAGAGCCGAACGCAGAACCGAGCTCTGCTGCATCTGGACTTGATCTTAAAGGTCTTTTCCAACCTAAATGATTCTATGATTCCTTGATGCTCTTGCTCCATGTCCTTTTCTCCTATTGATGCCACTCAGAGTGTCCTTCCGGCCTCACTGAGCATCCTCTGTCCTTTCATCAGAGGGGAGGTAAACAGGAGCCCTCCTCAGGCTTCTCATTATTGCCAGCATTATTTTGTATAGCTCCATCAAGCTCTCCACACATTATCTCCTCTCTAAATTTAACTGGCCTAATCTTTTTGATCTGTCCTTTCACAGGCACCTTCATCTGCCACTAATCATTTCTGTTTCCCTTCTATAGAACTTTTCTCTCTGCATCTCCTTGCTGGGCAGGCAGGGATGTAACCAGGGAATACACTAACAGCAAGGTCACACACTCACTTGGATATTGCCATTACACTGCTTTGAGCTGTTCTTGATGTGTTTCTTACAGTTTCCCACCATGTGTTTTGTTGGAGGCTTCCTTGATCATTCTCAAATCACAGCTGCACCCTGAGCAAAGTGATCCATGAGCTATGGGTTATAGTCTTCTACCCGTGTCCTCTCTGGTCATTCAAGAGGCATCAGTCGCATCTCAGCCAGTGGCAAAGTCCTGCCTGGTTCGTCAAAGCACCTTTACCAACCCCTTCTGACACCTGTAGTCTAAACTAACCCAAACAGTTTAGTGTTGCTGGCATATCTTGACTTCCTCCTGGGCTCACTCTCGCGCTGCTGCTGCAGGCACCGTAGCATTTTCTTCCTCACCTTCTGGGTGTTCAATAACCCTCAGGTTCTTCCATTCCTTTGCATCTCTCTGTTGCTTCTCAGGGAGATACTGTGCCATCTCTCCCTCTGCATCTATTTTTGCAAGGCCAGAGGAGCACAAAGGTCTCCATGTACAACCCTCCCTGACCCCGTGCCTCCTTGGCACTTGGGAGCTCTGCCTCTGTAATAGCCCGAGCAATACCTATTTGCACAAGTGCCATGCAGTGGATTTGGGGGATTTCTTCTGCCCTCCAGGGTAGATGGGTACAAATTACTTTTGGGGAGATTCCAATTAGACACAAGGGGAAAATTTTTCACAATGAGAACAATCAGCCATTGGAATAATCTCCCCAGGGAAGCGGTGGATTACCCAACGCTGGACACTTTTAAGATTCAGCTGGACAGGGTGCTGGGCCTTCTTGTCTAGATGGTGCTATTGCCAAGAAAGATTGAACCAGGTGATCCTTGAGGTCCCTTTCCACCCGGTATTCTATGATCCTATGATTCTCTGGAAGGCAGGCTGGAGCACGTGAAAAGCTCCTGGAGCTTTGTGCTGCTCTGAGGCCATGCCACCTCTCTGTGTCATGGTGGCTACCCACCAGCCCAGGACAGTCCTGGGGCTTCCTGCCACCCCACAGCAGCTGCCTGATCCTGTGGCCGTGTGGGGAGCTGGACGAGAGAACTGAACCCCAACTGAAAGCCCATCCTGCAAGAAGCATCCGTGAGCTTGTCAGATCCATTAGCTGAGCCGAGTCACTGCTGTGGGACAGGGGAAGGGAGGGGTGCTTGTGAGTGCTGAGCTGGATAGGAAGAGCCAGACTCTCCCTGGAAGCAGCCTCGTGTTGATCAGCTAATGCTTCGACAGTCTTCATCTGCACAAAGGGTCCTCTGTGCGGATCATGGGTCCAAGAGTTTCTCTCCAGGCTCCGGCATCCTGGCTTGGTTTTGCAGTGGGGCCAGAGTGCCTGGTGCCTGGCACCACTTGGGAGAGCAGGCCCGGGGCCCCTGTAAAAGGCACCTGGAGTCTTCTTTAAGACTCATTTCAAAACAAAACAAAATGTAATAACTAAACTGCTGCAGTTTTCTCTTGAGGGCTGCTGGGAGGAGCATAATTCAAGGTAATGGTGGTTTTCTTTGCTATTGAGCCAACTTTGCTCTACAGCAGTCTGTCCAGGAGGTGCCCTCCTGTGGTGCCACAGGAATATCAAAAACCTAGCAGAAATGGGATGCTGAGACCACTGCACTGCAGAGTACAAGAGGGGCCCGTGGGGCTGGACTGTGGCCTCTGCTTTGATGGTAGCTCTCAGGCTAAAACCCTCTGTCTGAAATGGTCAGTCGTGCTGCTGTTGAGACTGACATATGCTCCTGGTTACACCCTGCACCCTTGTCTGGTTACACTGCAGCTGGGACAGCCTTTTACCACTGGGTAACTGCCCCTGAATGTGGCTGCTGGCAGGGTCAGACCCTGCTCGCAAAACACCCTCACCCCAGCAGGACTCTTAGGATGGGGATTTGCATCGGTTTCAGAGAGCCCTGTGAAGTTGTGTGCACTTCTGCCACCCAGGGACTCTCCACCAGCTTGCCCTTCTCCTTTTCCCTACTTGATTTCTCATAAAAATCACCTCTCAGGTGCTCTGAATGGTGTCTGTCACACCACAGACCTCAGGACAGCCAGGGTTGTGATCAGGGGTCTCTTCTGGCCCAAGCAGCAGGATTTCTCTCTTGTCTGTCTTTTTCTTTTTCCCCTTTTCTTGTGCTGCCAAGGATGTTGTCATGGGGATGCCTGGAGAAGCCATGGTCGGGTTTTATCAGCACTGTATCTGACATTGTGGCATGGCCACCCTGCCCTGGGTCCCCGTCAGCCCTTCACTGGGTGCACTAGTGGAAGGGAAACGCTGTCCCAGGAGGACGAAGTGAAAGCAGTGGTTGCCTTGACAGGGGCCCTGTTACCCTTGAAGCCTCGGCAGTTCTTGGATTGACCATCTGGATGCCACAGGCACAGCAGCGCAGGCGAGCAGAAATCGAGGGGGAGCGTGTGCACAAGTGTGCAAGTTGCCTGTGTGTGTGTCAGTCCTACTGCCACAGCCCCCAGCTTGCTTCCATCTCGGCTGGCCATGCTGTGCCTGGAGAGTAGCTGATACAAGCTCTGGGCCTGTGCTCTTGTGAGCTTCAGCCCGGCTGCAGCATAAACCAGGCGATATCCAAGTGCAGGGGCCGTACCGCGGCTTCTGGGTCAGCTGCTGCTTCCTCAGACCAGCAACTGGCTTCCCTTCCTTGCTGGAGCAGTTGATGGATCTCATGCTTCATGCTTAGCTGAGCTTTGCTGATGGTACTCCTGATGACCATTTTCACCCCAGCAGAGTTCTGGGTAGCACTGGGGGGAAACTTGGGTGACAGCAGAGTCACAGCCCGCCACACATAGCTTTTGCAGTGGTTAATCATGGCTTCTCGCTGAAGTAAGAGTCTGAAGGACTACTCCTAGTCATCTGAGGCTTCCTTAACCCAGCGACAGAATGAGGTGGACTGAACTGAAAGGATGGTATTGACTCTTGATGTTATTATCTGAGACTTAGAAATTCTTCCCCCTCCCTCTTTTCTTCTCTTCCAAGATGGAGGCGAGTTATTTAAAGGAATGCCTCATTCTGCTTGCATTGCAGCATAAAGAAAGTAAGACTGTTTTGACAGAGCTGAACAGAAGCCTATGGTTAAGCAAAGATATGAAAGAGCAGTTTCAAAGAGGTGGCTTATCAGAAACAGGGTGAATTGTGATATGGGAGTGAAGAGGAGTGTCCCTGAATGCCCTAGAAGCAAAGAGGGAGAGGACCTGGGATGAAAGGGGAAATGCCCAGATGAGTGCTGTGTCTTGAACATGGCCAGGCTGTCAGGGAAGTTCCCGATTACAGCAAAGGCCCTGGCCGCAAAATGAAAGCTTTTGGGAGCAGCTGGGGAGGAAATAGGAGGAGAAGAGAGATGAAATTCAGCTGCCTCAGATCCTACAGTTTACAGAGCATTGGAGACTGTGGTGAGATGCTCAAGTTGAACCCTCCCTGCTGCACACAGAGATCTGAGGTTTGGGGCTTCCACAGATGGTTCCTGGCCTCCCAGATCAGCAGGAGGGACTGGGGCTGGAGGTCTTGATGTTCTTTGGGAGCGGTTTTAACCAAGTTGGTCTGCAGATCTAGTTAATGGAGAAGACTGGGCAGATTGGTCTGACTTGGGATCCTAAACAGGCTCCTCCAGGCCTGGTCCTTTACTGTCTGTCATCTTGAGTGCTCAGTCTCCAGCCACCAGCACTTGGCCTCTCTCCTTCATTTTTCTTGGTTCCTCCAATCGCTGTGTCCCTGGTTTGGTGGTGGGTTAGACCGAGGAGCTCCTCCCTGGTGGGAGAGGAAGCAATCTAATAGGAAAGCCCCCAGGGCCTGCCAGGCTCACCCTGTCCTGACTCCACAGGTAGGAGACCAGATCCTGGAGGTGAACGGCCGGAGCTTCCTCAGCATTCCCCATGATGAAGCAGTGAAGCTGCTCAAGTCTTCCCGCCACCTCATCATGACGGTGAAGGACATCGGGAGGCTGCCCCATGCCCGCACTACCGTGGACGAGACCAGGTGGATAGCGAGCTCCCAGATCGGAGACCCTCTCGTCAGCTCGGCAGGGTATGTGCTCGGTACACCCCAGGCGAGCTTGCTGCGTAGGGCTGTCAACTCAGAGCTCCTGTAGGCTGCCCGTGGTCACCCGGGGTGGGTGTGGAGCCCCAGCACATGAAATGGGGGCAGCCCGATGCACTGCAGTGTGCACGGGCATCCTGTCGAGGGGAGCACCCCCAGTGCTCGGGCGTGTGGCCCCCATATCCAGTGCTTAGGAGGCAGCAGCTCTGGCCTGTAAGGCGGATCAGAGCTGGACAATGAGCTGCTGCCCTTTCCCTGTTCTCTCAGGCCAGCAGCTCTTGGCTTACTGGCCCAGCGAGGAGAGTACGTAACGGATCTCGTGCCAGGCCTCAGGTGCTGAGTGATGGGCGCACAGCGCTCAGTGCTAACTGGTCTTCTCCCTCCCTGCAGGGCAGTGGGAGACCATGCTGCGGAGGCGACAGCCAGGGTAAGAGATACTGGGCCTTTCTGGTGCCTTGTGAAAAAAAATCACCATTGTTGTCTCTTATTTTCCGTGGGTCAGAGGGCTTTGTGCTCCTGATCATAAAAGGGATGCTAGTTTTATGATGACCGGTGGGTTTTAACTGGCTCTAGCTGTTCTCCTCCCCACCTCATGTTGCCAGCTGTGTTTCTGCAAACAGTGACATAGTGGGTACCCCCTCTGCCACTGGTGGGTCAGTTCTGCAGCACATCTGGTGCTTCCTAGCCTGGGAATGATCACATTAATGGGCAAGGGGCAATGATCACACGTGGGCAAAGACCGTGGGGACCCTCTCCACCCTGCAGAGGTGACCATGATGCCTTCCACATGGTGATTATCTCTGAGCCCTGACAGCTTCTGGGATCTTTCCCACCCTGAAGCAGAGCAGAGCCCACCCCTCTCCAGCACACCAGCCGGTGGCAGGGCTGCAACAGCATCAGGGGCTTGCCCAGCACTGTGACTGCAGCGCTCTGCCAGCATGTCTTCTCCGAACACCTCTTTGCAAAGTATGTTTCTTTTACGCAGAAATGAAGCAGCAAGGTTTCCCACGTGGCTCTCACTGATAACAACTTTGTGCTGTTTGCTGGCAAAACATGCTCGCCAGCCCCATCTCCTCTCAGTGTCTCCGGGATAGTCAGGGTCTTGTCTGGCTCCATATCCCTACTCTGGCTGTGCCAGCACTGCCTGGGAGGGTAACAGCAAGGACCTCCCCTTAGAAATCCCTCTCAAAGAAAAAAGCCTTTCATCTGCAGCCAGACATGTCTCTCCCTGGGACTCCTTTGGTTGCCAGTGGCTCTTTCTTCACTAGGGTCTGCTTCCAGCTTGCAGCAGGGGCAAAAAACTATAAAAGTGCCTTTTACACAAGATGGGAAGCTTGCCTCTCTCTCATGGCCCCAGTTCCCCCAGCTCTGCTAGGAGGGAGGACAGCCTGCTATTAAATCAGTAGCCGGTCAAGGGACAGTGTCCACGCTTGCTGAACAGATCTGGGAATCTGCTTTGTTTATTCAACTGGTGCTGCATAAGCTCATGGCTCTGGAGTTACCCCGACAAGTAGTGACACTGAGTGAGCAGCCATGCCAATAAACCCTTGGGGGTACCTGCCTCCCGTCCTCTCAGCATCCCCCTTCCAGTCCTGCTTTCCAGCTTTGCCACAGGTAGTTGGGTGAGAGCGATGGTCTGAAACACAGGCAGCTTGGGCTGGTGGGCAGAGCTGAGAGCAAGGGGACAATTCTCGGTCCTGCCTGTGCTGCCTAGCTGTCTCAGCAGACAGAGTGCTGCCCTCCTTTCCGCAGCTCATTGCTTGGCATCCCTGTCTTCTGCAGCCTGTGTTTTACCGGGGCCTGGCCGGCTCCCAGGTGACGCTGAGCAGCATGGTGAACCAGACCCGGGTCATGCTGGAGGAACAGGCTAACGAACAGGAGCGGGCGACCATGGGGTACTACCTGGATGAGTATAAGGAAGGCAACATCTCCGTGGATGCTCTGGTCATGGCGCTCTTCGAGCTTCTCAACACACACGCGAAGGTGAGGCCCGCACCCAGGTCAGGAGCAGTTCCATGTACCCGGTGGACTGAGCAGAGCCGTTGTCGCAGTGTGGCTCAGTGCCTCCAAGGATGTCTGCTCAGGGTCGAGGGTGAGGATATGAAAGCAAAATCCCGACGTAGGACATTATGGGGGATACAGGCTGGTGTTCAGTGGCAGAGGAGCTTCTGGTAAAGCTTAGGACCAAACCTCCTCATTGCTAGTTCCTTGCTAGTACATCTCGTTACCGCTGTTGAACAGTGTGGGAGGGTGGGTCTGCGCCTACCCAGGAATAAGGTCATGCTCCAACCTCTCTTTGGTTGTCTGTCTGCCTGGCCCAGTTCTCACTGCTTTCAGAGGTGCGGGGTGTGATCTCCCCGCAAGACCTCGACCGCTTTGACAACCTGGTGCTGAAGAGAGAAATCGAGTCCATGAAGGCTCGACAGCCCTCGGGGCCCAGCATCGGCACCGACTCCTACTCTATGATGTCCTACAGCGACACCGTCTCTTCCTCCAGCAGCCACTTCACTGCCACAACCGTCAGCTCAGCCCGGGTAAGTCCCTCCTGGCTTTTCCTTTTTTCTTTCAACACCCGCTCCTGGCAGCCCTACACAAACTCACTTCCCTGCAGTCCTAGAAAGGCATTTCAAGGCATTTCACCCTGCAGGAAACCCTCTCCAGTCTGATGGATTCTCTCAAAGCTTTCCCCCACCCTCCCCTTGCGGGCTGGGCACAACAGCGTTATTTGTAGGTGCAGTAAGGTGACATGTGCAATACCATGACACCTGCGTGGTCTCTCTGTGCCCCTAAGACCGATGTTACTGTCCTCTACGTGGGGGCTGGGCCTGGTGTTAAGTGTCGCTTTGTCCCCAGCGAAGGAGGAAGTCTGCCTTCCCTTCCAGGACCTCCACTGTGCAGTGTGAGCTGCATCCACTTAGAAATCTCAGCAACTTGTCACTGCCCCACCGTGCCTGCCGCTGTTCACCGGCTCTGGCTGTCACTTTTAAATCACCTCCTTAAAGACACTGGCTGCCTGCTTCTCATCCCAGCGGGGACCGCAGTGGCCAGGCCAGCTCCATCCTGTCCCAGCCCCTGCCCACTCTCCAGCATTAAGCAGCAGCACTCCTACGTCTCTCTGCCAGGCCTTCATTGCACGCACCGTCTAATTAAGTTATCGTAATCACCTCAGAGTGCGCAGGCACACAGCCCCGAAATTAATTTCCTAGCCATAAAATGCCTTTCATCATAAATGCATTAGCAACCTTGGAAATTAAAACCTTCATGAAAAGAATGGGTGACAATGGGCTTTCTGCTAGTTTGGCAGCAAGCAAACCAGCCCACGGCTGGAGTGAGTGGGATTGTGCTGGGGAGGGCCCAGGCAACACAGCCGGCAGTGGGGAGAGGCAGGGGGGCTTTCTGGGGACTGTGCCTGCCTGCGCAGTTTGGTCCTGCCTACACAGTTTGGTCCAGCCTCCCAAGAGGCCTCAGAGTTTCAGAGCATCAGCACTACGTTTTTGTTCCGTTGACTCCACAAATACCCATAGAAAAGCCATCTGCTCCCTTCAGGATGGATTGCAGTGAGATCCTTTCTGGATCAAGATAAACAAAGTGAATTTTGTGCTGCTCTCCAAAGGCCTGCTGGGAAAATCTTTCCAAAGTATCAGAGGGCTGACACAGGTCTGCCAGGACTTGTGAGCTGAGCCTGACACCTTCTTCTCATGCTGTCCCTGTGCCTGGGGCTGTACCACTTCCTTTGGGTGTGCCATTCGCAGCCTCCTGCTCCGTGACACCACGTGCCAAGCGTGGCTGCATGGCCTGGTGTGTGAGCGATGGCCCAGCCCCACCTGGCACAGGAGCCCAGAAGCTGGGGAGGGAGACCGGGGTGCTGTTCTGGCACAGAGAAGAGCTCCAGCACCACTGTTGTAAGAGCTTCCCTCAAGAACATGTGTGCCTTGGTCACCCTGCAGGTCCTCCCTGGCAGTGTGGCACCTCTTTCCATGGGAGTGAGAACATAACACCGTTCTGAGCTCTGCCTCGGGTGGTGGGAACACTGGCTCTTGAGATGGTTGTCATCAGTGCTTGCTAAAACAACTGCCAAGCAAAGAGCACCGGCTGGTGGTGGGTGGGTGCTTATCTGAGCTAGCAGGAGAGAGAGGAGAGGGTCAGAGCTCCCAAACTACTCTGCCCTAAGCCCCTGATGCTGTTGCCCTCCCCAGCACCTCTCACAAGAGAGACTCATTTCAGCCTTCACCTTCAGCACTGGGTGCAGCTGGATGTGGATTCTGCAGGGTGGGTTTTGGGGAGGAGGGATGCATTGTGCCAGGATTTGCTTGCCTCGCTCATCTGTTGTGCATCCACCCTGACGTTATGTTTTCGCTTTAATGCTTGTTTTAATCTGCTTTTGCCCTCGCACGTCCCCAGGAGCGGCTCTTGTGGCTAATAGACCTGATGGAGGTAGGGGCTGTCAGCGAGACGGGGAGCTCGAGTGCTGCGGTTGCCATAGTAGACGAGTTGGGAGTGCGTGCGAGCGTGCGGCGGGTACAGGCTGGCGTGCGGCTCTGCCACGTGAACAGCCGCCTCGTTTCCCCCATCTCTGCCTTTCCTGGGCTCTGCTGAGTCCCTTTCCCCAGCAGGGCTGCGGGCCTTGGTGCTGCAGTGCAGACAGCGCTCGGCCTTGAGCCAAACCCAGCCAGTACCAGCGTCCTGCTTGCACTAAAGCCCCCAGTGCCACCAGCGCTCAGGGCTGGAGTGTTAGAAGGACCGGCAGCGTTGATGCCAGATGGACCCCAGACTGCCCTTCCTGCCTTGCTGCCTGCTTTGCCTGTGACTGTGCTGTCCTGCTGTATGGGCACCCTGGCTAAATACCAGCAGGCTGGTCACATCCCCTCGTGCGTGCTCAGGGATGGGGCAGAATTTTCCTTATGGGCCTTGAGTCTGCAAAAATCTGTGCTGCAGTGCAGGAGGGGTCGGTGTGCTCATGTGGTGCATGTTCAGCCTTGGAGAAGTCCCCACACAGGCTTTAGAGAGGCTGGACATGGATGTGGGGAGAGCCTCGGAAATCCCTTTGTCCTAATAGAGCGAGGCTGAGAAGGGCTGCAGGCTTGTGCCCTACAGCACAACTCCGTGGTGCGGAGTGTGTTCCCTCCTCCTCCTCGTCTGGGAAGAAATCACAGGGGTCAGCGGGTTGAGCACACACAGCAAGTGGTGGAGCCAAGAGCTGCTGGTGCTGCTCTGGGAGCTGTGAACCTGGCCTAAAAATCTGCATCCCTCTGGGAATGGCAGTTATCTAGAAGAGGGTAACTGTAGTGTTCCCAGATTTTCATCACAGGCATCTTGAACCACGGGACGCATTTCTTTGGCTTCATGACCAAAGGCAGTGACACTAGACCAGGCCCCCTGTCCCATCAGCTCTTCATGGGTCAGTGGGTGAACTTATGCCAAAAATAACCGGTGTGAGGCTGATCAGGACCTGCCATGTGAAAAGCTTGAAGGATACTCAGAAATGAGACAAAGCCGTGTTTGGTGGTGCCCCCCACGGGTGATGTGTGTCTGCCTATCTGAGTGTCACCATCACCTCTTGTAAATCTTGGATCTCGAGATGAGTTCTGCAAAGCAGAGGTTAATTGTAGACTGCAATAATCGGATGTGACTTGCCTGATCAGAGCAGTATGAATTTCTAATTGCTTACAAGCAAGGCAGCCTAGCATTTCCCTTGTCCTTCCTCCTGCCCCAGCCCTCATTGTTAGGATTAAGGAATTGAAATCCCTGTTGATTTTTTTCTTCTCCACTGCCTCCTAGCAAAGGTCCTGCCATGCAAAGGGGCCTTCTCCTCCCAGGGCCTGATTCCACAGGTGCTGACTGCTGACTTGCTCCCAGCTCCCTGAAGCTGTAGGATTGGGCCCAGTATGGTGACCCAGTTGTCTTGGTCTCCATTTCACAAGAAGTATAAAAAAGGAGAGGATGGCACTGAGCTGTTCCTCTCTCTGGCAAGTGAATCTCAAGCACAGGAGCCCACAATCTCTTTGGCAGCTGGCAGGTGATCTCTGTGTCCCCAGAGGGAGAGCAGAATGAGAGCAGAGAAATGGGGGACGTGTTCCTCACCTATGTCCCCTGTTACAGAGCTGCTCCAGCTCCCAGCTGTCCTCTTGACCCCCTCCAGGACAGGCACAGATAACCCACGGGGAGGGTTCCCATGTGCTTGGCACAATCCTCTCAGGCAGTGGGGATAGTGACAGAGTGAAGCCATTGTGTGGGTGTCACTGTGTCACCCTCTGAGCCCCTGAAGTCAGAGAGGTCTGTGCTCAGGCTGGGGCAGGGCCAGGGGCTCTGGGGCTCCTCCAGCCCTGCAGATGCCTTCAGGGGTGGGAGAGGGAAGGGGAAAGAGGAGGAAATCTGGGCTTATTTTCAGACTGGTGCACTTGTTCAAAATGTAAACCCTGCAGGAGTTGGGCTGAGTAGCTCTGCAAAGCTCTTGACAGCAGTAGCTGGAATATAAGGGACTCATTTGGAGCTGTGGGGTTAATTAAAGGTTGGGTTGTATTCCCCAGGGAGGTGGCAGTTTCTCCACCAGGCAGTCTGTGATTGGAAACTTGCTGCCTGTCTGAAAGATGCTCTCCAGCTCCATCGCTCCCGCCGTGGACTCTGTGCAAGACAGGAAGGACAAAATTTTCCCAGCTGCAGCCTGCGGAGGGGCTGGAAGGGCCTCCCCTAGCCTCCAGTTTCTATCAGTAACTAGAAAACAGGTGGGGAAAAGGAGCAGGGAGTCTGTAGGAGGGAGCAGCCTCCTCAATAAATACTCATTTTTCAGAGCAGTGGCACGTGGCTTCGGTGGGTCTTTCAAGGGAAATCCAGGAAAGCACAGTCTTAAAATAGCCAATTCCTGAAAGCAACCGTGTTCAGCTTAAAAGCCATGACATTTTATAGCCCGGAGCAATTTCTACTTAATTGCTTTTGCCCCCAAAGTACTAAGCTTGGGGAAAGGCAAATCTCCTGCTTGCACACTTCAGCAGAAAGAAGTGCCCTGAAGAAGCTGAGCAGTATTAGTGTCCCCGGCTGCTCAGGGGGAGCAGAGCCAGGGCAGCGGGATTAGGGCTGTCTCTCGGGGCTGGCAGGGAAGGGCGCGGGGTGCAGCTGGCTGTGCCCACCCTCCGTTTGCCAGGAGGATCCAAGTCTCGGTGCAGACGGGTCCTAGCTGTGAGGCTGGGGCTGGGACATGGCACGTGATGGGCTTGATGTTGCGGTGGTGGCCACAGAGTTCAGTGTCAGGACTGGGATAGATGGCACTGGCGGATTTTGGGGGAGCATTGTGCAGACTCTTCTCTTTTTAGTAGCGATGTAACTGTGACTTTGATGACAGGCTGCTCCTGGTCATGCTGTAGAGGTCCTCATGCATTTGCCAAGAGCCCAGTGAACTCTTGGAGGCAGGTGGAGGCTGGCAGAAGCAGGGCTGGAGAGGGAAGAGTTAGGGACGCAGCTGAGACCCTCCCAACCACGGCCAGGCTGGTGCTGAAATGCCACCGTCCCCGCCTTGGCTCCTTTCCTTGTGCACGCAGCCGTTGGGCTGGGTTCAAGGCCCTGGCCAGCGTCTGGAGGTGGGCTGGTCCAGGGGGAGGCGATACGGGGGCAGCTTTCTGCAGAGCAGCTCTCTCGTCAGAGGGAGTGAGGGCGGGAGGAGGGAGCTCTGCGGCGAGCGCCCTGGTGCAGTTTCCTCCGCACTGTTTTGTCCGGCTGAGCTGCTCCTTGGCGTCGCGCAGGGACGTGGTGGCACACGAACTTTTACATTCATCGATTGGCCCTTCGGTCAAATCTGGAGTCCTGTTGCTGACGTGTGCGCGGCACAGAGCAGTTCGTGTCCGTTTTAATCAATCTGAAGGCAGGTGCCTTTTGAAGTAGCCCTACGTGCCTCTTCCTCCAGCCACAGACGTGGTGGCATCGCCCTGTCCTTCGGGCCAGCGCTTGGGTTTGCACAGTCCTGGGGTGCGTCAGGTCTGGCTGAAGCCTCATCTTTCTGTTGCTGCTGCCATGTGTTTCAGTCAAACCTGGCTTCTGCCCCGGCTTGCTGCAGGGTCAGTAACCCAAGAAGGGATAGGGGATGTTTCTCTTTCAGAAGCCACCTGCCTTTACATTGGATTAACTGATGATGAAATCAACCCTCATTAGAGGAAGGAGTGGTTTCCTAAGCTAATACTTTCCCTGTCGCTCTCTGAACAAGCCATTTCTTTTAGTTCTCATTCTCCAGGGTTCCTTCTGAAGCCACAGAGATAAAAGCACTTTCCATCAATGTTTTTGCTGCTTCTCTAATGCTCTTAATTGTCTCCCGTGTCTATTTTGGGACGCTAACATCTTGCAGGCATAGCAGCAGCCTCCAGCAGATGGGGGAAATGCAGATGCACCAGCGTTTCAACTAATCAGTTGTTTACCCTGCAATAAATAACACACAGTTAAACACAAACTGTACCCTGCCCGTTCCAGCACAAACTCACAAACATCCTTGTGAACGTGACAGAAATGAAGTACACCCTTTCTGAGCCACAGCAGCACCTCTCCAGCTCGGGAGGGGGGTGCCAAGTCTGGGTTTGCTCTCACAGGACCTTGCAGGGAACCAGCTGGGGCTGTGCACCACTGGCAGAGCATCCCACCGGAGAGTGCCTGGGGCAAAGCCGGCAGCAGAGCCATGGCTCTGGGCTAGACTCAGGACCAGCTGCATTCAGGCCCATCCAGGGCCAGGCCAGGCTTGGCTTGCCAGCGCAGAGCTCCATACCCAGCCTTCGCTGCACGCCCCCGGTCCTGCTGTCCCTGCTGTTACGTAGCCAGGGTGCCTGTTTGCTCTGCTTGGCTGTATCCACGTCCTCTCCTTGCGTCCGTCTTGATTGACAGCTGGCCCTGTGCAGACAGACTGACAGATTCCCAAAGCCACCCTTGACTTCTGGACCTGTGATGCGTTCAGAGCTCTGTTGTGATTATTTGACATTTTTGATATAATGACATTTTGACTCGTAAAGGGAAGGCAGTAGCAGCGGCTTCTATTTGCATCTGAGACCTCCTGCTCTGGTTTCCAAGGGAGGGAAGTTTTAAACTTTTTCGTTGCCCTTTTACCGGGAAAGATCTAGATATTGAACCTGCAGCCCTCCGAGCTGGTTCCTCCCCTCCCTCCAAATTGAACACGGGGAGCTGAGATCCGAGTTACGAGGAGCACGCTCCTCTGCTACCGAGGAAATCACCTGGTAGGTCAGGTTCACAGCAAGCTTTGAGCCCGCTGCTCAGCTTGGGAGAGTGTTTCCCAACCAAGTTGCTTTGCTCGTAGGTGTGAGTCTCTAGGGAACCCCCCAGAAAACCAAAACCTTTGGGTGAAAGACTGGCCTTGCATGGGGTGGGGGCTTGGGCAATGCCCAGCATCACTCTGCATGTTCCCTGTCGTGCTGGCACTGTGGTGGTTGCTGCTTGCTGCTGTGACCTGGTTTTCTCTTTCTTCTTTGCCCTATCAGAACACATCAGAACTGGAGGGAGGTGGAGACAGCCACCAAAGTAGCATCAACACCCTCCCAGACATCTCCTTGGTAAGACACTGCACCATGCTGCTGCGCCTTGGATGGGAGCTGGAGGCAAATTGATGATACCAAGTTTTGCCTCAGCTTCTGTAGGTCTTTGCTGCATCGCCTGCTCATGGGTGTCATTGCAGTCACTGGAGCGTATTAATCGGAACAGTTAGAAAGAAGGATTCTGGCTGGCTGAATAAGAGCAGCACCTGTGCAGACCACAGCAAAAGTTGTGTAGTTTGTCCTCTAATTGTCCTTGTTTGTGAGCCATGTTCTTATTGCCAGTAAGGTCAGAAAGGCATTTCTATAAAAGTCATGTCATTTTGCTGTGGCCACTGTGAGGAGGCAGGTGACTGTGAGCCTGGGGAAGTTCTTGCAGCCGAGTGTGGTGTCCTAAAGGCTTCTGTTCTTGGTCTGGCAGGATGATCTCTCCTCCTTCCCAGACGAACCACCCAACTTCAAGCCTCCACCTCCTCCTTCAGCCCCTCAAATGCTGGACCCCTCTGCTGCCCAGCACAGGAACCCCGGGAAAGACAAGCCCAAGCGCCCTTCCTCCGAGTCCTCTCAGTCAGGCCTCTTCTTCGTGGCCCCCCGAAACCCCACGCCCCCTCCTAGCCACCCCGAGAAGGACACAGTCAGCATGACTTCCACTGCTACCACATCCACCGAGGAGTCTGCCCCCAGCGCTATCTACGCTACCATTTCCCCAGCCCTGCACAGCTCCAGGAGGCAAACGGATGCCCAGCTCTCCTTGGTCAGCCAGCACCCCATCGGTCCCTTCCCCAGGGTCCAGTCCCCAACGAGGTTGAAGAGCCCAACCCCAGACAGCCCTGCAGCCGGTGGGCTTCAGAGCCCCGCTTCCCCGTCCCCTCCTCCTCCCCCACCCCACCCGGCACCCCCTCCACCAGACAAGGGCAGCCCGCAGGCCATGGCCAACCAGCATTTCATCATGGTGGAGGTGCACCAGCCCAACAGCGAGCCCGACGTCAATGAAGTGAGACCCTTGCCCCAGGCCAGAGGTGGGTGTCACGTTATCAGCCACGGGGTGAAAAAACCCTCTCGGGGGTGATCCTCAAGAGAGAAAAGGGCGAAGAGACAGATCTCAGGGGCAGGAACTGGGGGAGTTGGAAGAGGGAGGCCTGCATCAGGCTTGGTTGCAGGGCTTCCCCCTCCCTGGTGGGGATGTGGGCTGGCAGCACTTGCCAGGGAAGGGCCACAAGGGCAGACGTGATTTCGGTTCAAACTGCGGGTCAATAAGGTAGGGTGAAAGCCACAGAGCCGGGATCAGTGTGGCAACGTTTGGTAGCTCTGTGGTGGTTTGCTTTTTTTCCAAGATGAATTTCCAATTGCAGAAAACAGCTTGACATCATCACGGCAGAAAAAAAAAAATGGGGGGGCGAATCTGGGGAACGCATAAAGCCCTCCAGTGTTAGCAGCAGTCATGGTGTTGATCTGTGAGACAAAGCCCTCAGCCCTGGGTTTTGGCAGTGCTGGAAAACCTGTGACACCCAGGACCAGGGCAGCCAGCTCCTGGTCCCCATCCAGCACACTCTTCAGAGCTTCCCTGGGTTTCCAGTGCCGTTCGGGCTGACCTTTGCTTAAAGACCAAGCTCTGCTCAGCAGTCGATTGCAACTTCTCTCCTGTGTGGGCTTTGCTGTGTTCGTTAATAAAATCTGCTTCCAGTGGAGTTTTAAAAGGAAAAAAAAAAAAAAAAAGCAATTTTGGGATTAACTGCAGATTTTTTTTTGGGGGGGGGAAGTCTTAATTGTACCCTCACTGAGCTTGGGGGTCAGATTTATCCTGAACGTATCCTGGAAAAAGGAATGGAAGTGAGGGAGGAGCGTGCTGGGCTCCACAGGTCCCTTGGCACATGGCTGTGGTCCAGCGGGAGTGGGAATGGTGGTCCTGGAGCTCTGAGGGTGCCCAGGAGGGTGAGCTCTGCTTTCGGCTGAGACCCGTTGGGGCTGGGGGTACCCCCAGCCTCCCGGAGCCCCCTCGGAATTCCCCGTTGGCGTCCGAGCTCCGTGGGCCCCGCAGCGAGTGGCGTTGTCGCCCCCCTGTGGCATCCTCCTCCCACTGCAGTTAGTCGATTGATCTTGGGGTGATGGGTGAGGGACTGGAGTGCCTGTCAGGGGCCGGATCCTGCCCGAGGGGTGTCAGCAGGGTGACCCCAGCTTTCTCAAGTCCCAGAGCCGATTTCCCGGACCTTCAGCCCTCTCTGCGGGTGCTCTTGTACCCTTGTTCGTGACACTCCTTTCCAGAGGCAGAGTGTCCATCTGCACCCAGAGTCTTCATCCTTGAAGGGGAGAAAACTCCCACCTGGAAGCTCCTCTTTGCCCGGGTCTGTCCCCACCTCCTCCCAGACCCTGGTGCTGAGCATGGGCTGGCTCAGACTGGCCTCCAGCAGGATCCCTGAACTCCTCACTCTCTCCCTCCATCCCACTTTGAGACCTGGGTTAGATCCTGCACTTGGGTTTGAGGTTGCTTTGTTGCTTGATGCTCCTTGGGCACAACTTTGCTCTTCAGGAGGGGTCTGCTTGGGAACCCTGCTCTGAAGTCCAGGTCTAAATCCCAGGGAACCTGCCCAGCCCTGGGAGCGGGTGAGATGTCCTCCCTCTGGTACCTGGCCCTGGGGTTGCTCGGCTGGCCGCAGAGCCGTGCTGCCCGACCTCTAACAGCCCTCGTCTTTCCCCAGCATCCACGCTCTCCCAGCTGTCGGACAGCGGGCAGACCCTCAGCGAGGACAGCGGGGTGGACATCGGGGAGGTTGAGATGAGCGGCAAGGACAAGAGCCGGCAGCCGGTCCCTGGGAAAAGCCGAAGCCTCAAGGAGGCCATGAGGAGCGAGGGGATGGCAGAGGGGGCCTCCAAGCCGGTGAGGCTGGGTGCCCAGGGGCCTCGGGGCACTGCTGTTCGTGGGAGGTGGGCACCCGGGGCTGCCGAGGGGCAGTGCTGCTCCCTCTGCCTGCGGGCAGCAACCCCTCTTCTGTGCTTCCGTGGGGTGTTTGTCCTCTGGTTTCATGGGCTGAGGCAGCTCGCTGGCGGGCTGAGCTGTGGGGAAGGGAGCCAGCAGCAGCTGAGAGGGGCACTGCAGGGCTCATTCACTCCATCCTGGGTAAAGCCAGGCCCTCCCATCATGCAGCTACTTGGGACATGGCAGAGTTGCTGCCTCTGAGGGGACATCTGTAGGGCACAGCGTCCCATGAGTGAGGTCCCCTGTCGCCCAGAAGGGAAGCTGGCATCAGGTATTGGAATTAAATTGGAGGATTTCTGATGGTGACAAGGTTGAGGGGCATAGGCAGGCAGTGGGATTGCTGCTCCGCTTCTCCCCAAGCCCAGACCTGCTCACAGTTGGGATCTTGGATGTCAGGAGTCGGAGAGCAACTGCAGGCAGCGTGTCTGTCCCCCTCCCACGGAAG